CATTTTTTATTAAAACAAAGAGCAATAGAAAAAAAATGTTTAAATTTAACCACTGTATTTTTAAATTAACTAAATTAACCCTATCACCACCACCATCATCATCATCACCATCACCAACCTTATCATCACTATCACCATCATCACCACATTACCACCATCACTATCACCACCACCATCATCATCTTTATCATCACTATCACCACCACCATCATCATCATCACCATCACCAACCTTATCATCACTATCACCATCATCACCACATTACCACCATCACTATCACCACCACCATCATCATCTTTATCATCACTATCACCACCACCATCATCATCATCACCATCACCAACCTTATCATCACTATCACCATCATCACCACATTACCACCATCACTATCACCACCACCATCATCATCTTTATCATCACTATCACCACCACCATCATCATCATCACCATCACCAACCTTATCATCACTATCACCATCATCACCACATTACCACCATCACTATCACCACCACCATCATCATCTTTATCATCACTATCACCACCACCATCATCATCATCACCATCACCAACCTTATCATCACTATCACCATCATCACCACATTACCACCATCACTATCACCACCACCATCATCATCTTTATCATCACTATCACCACCACCATCATCATCATCACCATCACCAACCTTATCATCACTATCACCATCATCACCACATTACCACCATCACTATCACCACCACCATCATCATCTTTATCATCACTATCACCACCACCATCATCATCATCACCATCACCAACCTTATCATCACTATCACCATCATCACCACATTACCACCATCACTATCACCACCACCATCATCATCTTTATCATCACTATCACCACCACCATCATCATCATCACCATCACCAACCTTATCATCACTATCACCATCATCACCACATTACCACCATCACTATCACCACCACCATCATCATCTTTATCATCACTATCACCACCACCATCATCATCATCACCATCACCAACCTTATCATCACTATCACCATCATCACCACATTACCACCATCACTATCACCACCACCATCATCATCTTTATCATCACTATCACCACCACCATCATCATCATCACCATCACCAACCTTATCATCACTATCACCATCATCACCACATTACCACCATCACTATCACCACCACCATCATCATCTTTATCATCACTATCACCACCACCATCATCATCATCACCATCACCAACCTTATCATCACTATCACCATCATCACCACATTACCACCATCACTATCACCACCACCATCATCATCTTTATCATCACTATCACCACCACCATCATCATCATCACCATCACCAACCTTATCATCACTATCACCATCATCACCACATTACCACCATCACTATCACCACCACCATCATCATCTTTATCATCACTATCACCACCACCATCATCATCATCACCATCACCAACCTTATCATCACTATCACCATCATCACCACATTACCACCATCACTATCACCACCACCATCATCATCTTTATCATCACTATCACCACCACCATCATCATCATCACCATCACCAACCTTATCATCACTATCACCATCATCACCACATTACCACCATCACTATCACCACCACCATCATCATCTTTATCATCACTATCACCACCACCATCATCATCATCACCATCACCAACCTTATCATCACTATCACCATCATCACCACATTACCACCATCACTATCACCACCACCATCATCATCTTTATCATCACTATCACCACCACCATCATCATCACCAACCTTATCATCACTATCACCATCATCACCACATTACCACCATCACTATCACCACCACCATCATCATCTTTATCATCACTATCACCACCACCATCATCATCACCAACCTTATCATCACTATCACCATCATCACCACATTACCACCATCACTATCACCATCACCATCATCATCATCACTATCACCACCACCATCATCACCATCACAATCATCACCATCACCAACCTTATCATCACTATCACCATCATCACCACATTACCACCATCACTATCACCACCACCATCATCATCATCACCACCATCAT